GGGCGGGGGCGGGGCCAGCGCCGCCGCTCCCCCTCCCCGCGCTGTGTGGGAGCAGGAAGGTGTTAAGTTATAATGATGGAGCAATTAAGCGATAAGTGGGTCTAATTAACCCACGTCGGGTAACCGAGACAGGCTTAAGTGGAAACGGCCGCGTTGCACAACGAGTCGGTGGCGGGGCAGAACGGCGTTTGGTCACTCGGACCGGCCCAAGCTAAGGGAGAGAGCTGTCTGTCTTTACAAGTCAAAATTCTTTCATATAATCCAAGCTTAATAATAACAAAAAAGTGGATTTTTTTGCTGTATCTCAGCAATTTGATTGCATTCTAACAGTATAAAATCATGTACCCCCAAGTATTTAAAAATTATGAAGCAAGCTTTTGAGCAATATCAGCCTAAGGAGCAGGTTAAAATATGCAATTAGATTTTGCTTTTTCCCCAAACCTTTCTTCCTGGCCCTCAAAGCATATTTGAGTCACATCCATGGCACATCAAGATTTTGGCTATTGGTTTAAAGTGGAAGCTGAGATGCTCCTTCAATGGGACATTAAGAAGGGGGATATCAGGGAAATACCACTATTGCAGGCCTCATAAATAATGCTGAGAGTCCAACTTGAAGCGATCTTTAAATTGCTGTTCATCACTTCAGGGAAAATTTTATAGTTAGAAACCTGTGGCCATCTTTGGCAAACCCATCAAGTTTCAATGGCACAATTTGGACCCTTGTTCCGTGTCTGCCAGTCAGCCCATCTTTCCATAAGAACTGCGAAACCCATTAGCCAGTTTTAGCCAAAAAGTTACAGTCTCAGGGCATGAGTTTGGCTGGTTTATAAATGACATTTCTTTCTAATCATCAGCATCCAGGTTGCTCTGAATCAGCCACAAAGCCTATTGCCTGTTGCCCAGTCTGTGTTTAAAGGACACAGTAGGGAACTGTGGGAAGAACAAAAACACACTAAGGGAGCCACTCTCTCACGGTGCGAATGGGAGGGGTACACAGGGTTATTGCAGGGGACAGACTGCTCAGAGACCAGGCTGCAGGTGCCTTGCTAAACAACCCACGATATGCTTGTTTGTGTGAGGTCCACGTAGACAATGCAGCCGTTGTTTAACGTAAGTGCAATACAACATTCATTTATTGAGCGGCAGTACACTTCACAGGCGATGTCCATAATGCTGTACTGACAAGAAATTCCAGGTCTCCCGCCCCCCCATGCAACTTTATCTCCAACCCTGCTTGTGCAGTTAAGATATTTGTGTGAGAGGTGAAGCCAGAAATGTCACCTGCACTTCTCTAGCTGCCATGTGACTGTGACCCTGCCAGATCCATGTAATCCAGACACCGTGATAGGCACAGGTTCCCCACATCAGCTTGAGCGCCCATAGTAGATAAAAGGAGAGGCAGAGGAAGACGCAGCCCTGCCCTAAAACCCTCGCAGTCTAAGTAGGCAAAGTAAGTGAGCTGGCTTTCAAATGGCCTGAGGGCTGGCCTAACTTTATTCCTGTTGAAGTCAGTGATAAAACTCCCATAAATGGAGCCTTTTGGAAAATCCCACCCTTGGGGCATGAAAGTACTTAAAGGAAGAGACTGAAACTTGTGAAGGCTTTAGATTCAATTTTGATCAGTTTTTATGTGTATTTCAGTGGGCCCAGCCATGGAACCACAATAAGCAGAGCTCCTGTGTCTTTCTGTTTTGCTCATACACTTTTAATAAGCAAGATGTGTAGGAAAAATTATACTGTGGTTTTAATTATGCCCCTAAACTGCATTATCATGGGCACACACGTGGTGCATGGAGCTGTGAAGAACTGGTACCATGACGTGTGATAAAGGTCGTGCGACTGATATACCAGTGAATTCTGAAGAGGACAGATAATCTTGCTCAAGGCTGGCACTCAGGTGATCCAGTTTTATTTCTCAGTTCTGGCATGGGCTTCCTGTATGACCTCAGTACAGTCATGTAATTGTTCAGTGCCTCAGTCCATCATCTTTTTAATAGGGTTACTACTTACTTATTTCCTTTCTCCCGCCCTCTTCTGCCTCACTTAGACTGCAATTCTGCCAGGGAGTGGAGCATTTCTTACCACGTGCAGGGCCTTCATCCAGTACAATGAGACCTAATAGCAGTGCCTGTAGAGTAATGCAATGCCAATTAAATAAATAAATGAAGATGATAATATCATTTAGGGCTAGATTTGCTGCTTGCAACCCAGCCCAAGGTCAAAGTGTTATGCTTCCCTGGAACCTCAGGATGCGCTCCATGTGGAGGTTTCTGCAGTGATCAAAATCAGCCCCAAGCAGTAGCTAGTTTTGGGAAAGGGCTGAGCACCAGTCACAGTTTTGCAGGCGGCCTTCTATGGCTAACTGCTGAAAGCCACAAGGAAAGCCTCCTTGGAGATGTGGTGTTGGACTAAGCATCTTCTCACCATGCCTTTTTGTCTGAACTTGGTGGCTGGCTCTTCAATGCCACTGTGGTTTTCCTCCCCACTAACTGCTCATCATATCATATACATGAATGCCAGTGTCACAACTGCAGAGTGGCTGGTGTCTTTTTGAGCTGTCTTGCATTCCTGTAGGGACCATGTTACAACAAAAGCCATGGCAAGGCGCTCAACATTGTGACCCAAAATGAAGTTGCCGTGAAATTGTTTACATTACTCGAACCTGCATTCATTCTGATTAATTCAGTGTCTCCTGGTATATCTAGATAACCCGGGGTTAATTGTATGCATACTGAAATGCTGTCCCTTGTAATAAAATCACATTAAATTATTCCTAACTTCAGTGGTGTTTGAATTCAAAACCTACCTAGACCTTTAGGGCCTTAGGCCCTACTTAGCAGCAGTGTAAGGCATGTAGGATCAGGGCCTTGATATTTTCTAATAAAATTGAATGGTTTTCAAATCTCTCTACTTGTCTATAATGCAATTCACTAGGAATAGTTTAATTTGTCCGCTCATTCTTTCCAGCAAAGCTCCAGAAGCACACTGCTTGTCAGTCCATGCTATTGTCTGTATCTTGTCTCAGAGCCAGTGCTACTGTTGGACTAAATCTCGTCCACAGTCTAGGTCCATATCAAGCCAGGTGAGAACTGATACATAGAAGTTGCCATGTGAAGTATTAATAACTACATCCATATTAGTAGCTTTGATGTTCTTTGGTTTTGTGGGTCACCCCTTTATTCAACCCATAATTAACAACATCTTCAGGTGAGCTACTTTGGAGGGCTTTCTGCTAGGGCATGGACTTCAAGGAGGAGGAACAGCGGGATTGTGTTCACGTGCGGACATATCTGAACATGTTCCTGGCATCCACAAGAAGAGTGAAAGTTTTCAAAGAATTACTAAATTAGAATCTATATTTTAAAGTTTACCAGAATAGCTCGTGCACCAATAATTTATGACCAATGAAAACAAGTACGGAAAAGAAACACGGCTAATACAACCCTTGGAAAGATTTACCGGGTACTTGGAGAGGCTTGAGCGCTTTCCTCCGCACCGGCCGGACAGGGCTCTGGAGCCGCAGGGACGGCGAGCAGGGAAGCGCTGCCCTCGCCAGGTGCCGGCAGCTTCTCCAGCCCGTCCGGCTCCCCCCATCCCGGCGCTCCCGCCCCGCTGGGGCGGCTCCTGCGCGGCACGGCCCGCCCTCCGCCCGCCCGTGGGCGGGCCGTGCCGAGCCGTGCGGTTTGGTTGAGTCTCCCTGCGTGTGTCTATAACTTTGTGTTGCTGCCGGTGGTTGTTAGGAGGAGGGATGTGGAAGTCGGCGGCGAGCAGGGTGACAGGCTGCTCGGGCGGGCTGCGGCGGCGGACGGGCTGGGCGCGGGCGGATCGCTTGCCTCTCGCCGGCTGCTCGCAGGGGGAGCGGGCGCTCTGCCGTTTTCCCATCCTTCGCCTTTAAAGGGAAGGCTCTCTGGAGCTGAAGGCGCAGGAGCAGCAGGAACCATGCAGCAGCGCTGCTTCTTCCTCCCGTGAATTCGGATCTCGATTGCTGCCGGTTGTGGAGGTGGCTCTCGATCCAGCACCCCCCCGCCGCCTCCCGCCCCTCCCGATGTGGCTTTCCCTGCCTCGTCTGCCTGCGCTTTTTAAATGACTTAAGTGAAGGGGGGAAAAACTGTCAAGATGGCAGCAGCAGGAGCAAGGAGGTTATGAATGTGGTGTTGATGCTGGAACAAAACCTATTCTCTTTGGCAGCCCTAGGGAGGGCTTAAAGCTACTGGACCTGTTGGAAGACTGGCGATTTGATTTGTTCCCGTTGTGTTTGCTTTTTCCCTGCAAGAAGGAGGATTTATTACTATTTTTTTTAACCGACCAGCCCCCGGGGTGGCCGTCTCCTGCCCCCTGGTCCGTCAGCTGTGAGATTTTGGGGGGTTGCTTACGCGTGGCTTTGGGGCACCGCAAAGTGACGGGTTTACGCTAGTGTGCAGTTGGATGTATGCTAAGACTTCGGCTCCCTTTAGGGCGTTTTGAAGAAGGAAAAAGTCTTCGGCGTAACCCAAAGGACTGCTCTCCCTGCCCTCCTGCCGACGGAGGGCGCGAAGGACCACCCCCCCACCCAAAAGGCAAGATATCTGCGGAAGCGACGAGGAGCGAGCTCGGAGGCGCCGGGGGCGTGAGGGGGTCCTCTCCCGGCTGGATACAGCGCGGTTCCCGCTGGAGCTACTTCGGCATCCGCATGGAGTGAAACATAAACAAACGCACACACGCACCGCGGGAGCGGCCGCCGCTCCGCCGGCGCGGAGGGCAGCGCCGCGGGCACCTCCGGCACCGCCCGGCCCGTGCTGCCGCCCTGCGCGGCCGCTCCGGCTCCTAATCTGATTTTTTTTTTTTCCCCTCCCTCCCCTTCTCCCCCCGCCTCCCAGCTCCGGCGTG